TGGACATTTATGGGTGTCAAGTTTTTGTTTGATTGTGCCGAGCATTAGCTATAAGGTTGTCCAAAAGGAGTAAGTAGGATCTGTAACTGCAATAAATTGAGTTTATTTTTTTCGGCAACCGAAATAATTACGGCTGCCGAAAATAATTATGGCTGCCGAAAACAATTACGGCTGCCAAAAATAATTTTGGCAGCCGTAATTATTTTCGGCATTTAGGCATTTTGAAGAGGCTGCCGGAAATATAAAAAATGCCATAATGCCATAATGCCATAATGCCATAATGCCATAATGCCATAATGCCGTAAATGTATAAGTGTACCCTTCTCTGTAAATTAGATTTAATAAGGTTTAAAAAGAATTTAAGAACGAATTAATTATACAAAACCGTTCTTAAAGCTCGTTTATTATCACGTATTTTCTTTCTCAAAACAGAGATATTCATAGTATCTATCAAGGTACACGCGCCTTTCTTAGCTCTCTTTTTGCAAGCGTACTGGTGGTATTTTGAACTTTTAGATCTAAAAATTTCATCGTTGTTATTCAGTGTTAGCAATTGATATATAAAATTTTATATGTTCATATGTCCATGTTCAAATGAAATCTTTATTGGACATAGCCCAAATGCCAACACTGAATAGATACTTGATAGATCATGCTGTGATTTTGCATAAAATTCATAAAATTTGATTGGCTAATGAAACATCTCAAAGCATAAGCGTATATTAATAACAAAGACTATTTAGAAAAAATCCAACAACACCAAAATTCACAAACTTAATCTAATTGTTGACCTTAAAGAGGATGAAATTCTTCTAAAAACTAATTACAGTTGAGCAGTTTGTTTAACGAAACATTAGAAAGATTAAAGGAAGCCACAAGGCAGCAGTTAATTAAAGAAAAAACAGCAGTTATAACACATTAAAATTAAAATCTTGCATTTATTACTCTTAATGAAATGTAATACCTTTTTACCAGTAATATTGGTTAAAACTGAGAATCATGTATATACTAATAGCAAAAATTTTCTTGTTTATTATTGACACAATTTTTTCAACCATACACATGTTTTTTACTCTTGAAATTCAAACTATTAAGTCACACTTAAAACAAAATTACTCTATTATACGGCTTTTTTGCTTTGAATTTCTGCCAACATTTCTGGTGGAATTGATCCAGCAGCGAGTCGATCTTTAAAAAACCTCCGATGTCTAACTAATCCTATTGATGGCAACTTTGTACCTTGTTTCATTGCCTTATTATATAATTCACGTAAAATTTAAATGGTCAAATTAATATAATATTATAATTATTTCAATACAAAAATAAATTAAAGCTTACAAGATCACGTTGGACAAACCAGAAACATGTAAGCAACTTTTCTCTGGGCGTAAAATATTTGACACCAATACTTATTAAGCCCTGTGAATCCAAATTGATAATTTCATTCCAAGTTTTTCCTTCGAAATGTGAAATATGATATTTCAAATCAAGTCCATCAAGCCATGCGGGGAAGTCTATAAAATGCATTAATTACAAATATAAATGTTATGGATCTATATATGTGTAGCAAAAGATCTGAAATACAGTTGACACGTGTCTAACTGTATAGCATGAAAATTTATTTTTATGCATTTAGATAACCAAGGTTGTTAAATATACAGTCTAGTTGCACGTTACAATTTATGCAATTAGACTGTAATCTAAAATATATGTACTATATACCTTCTAATAATTTATAATTAATATTAATATAATTATCTTTGTAAAATTTTTCGCGCTGAGCAATAATTTCCCTCTCGTCCACAGTAAGCTCTCGTTTATGTTTTTCTTCTTTTTTTTCTGGTAAGGTTATTCCTTTTTTAATAGCCTTAAGAAAGAAAACCAAATGGATATTGAATAAAAATTACAATAGTAAATAAAATCTTGATAGGATAACCTACAATATCCCTTTTAACTTTCCAAAAATGACTAACTAATTTCGCTCGGATTAGTCGAGATTCAATGCCTAAAACATCCAATGCTTGCCAATCCATTTCTATTAATACATATAACGAAGTGAGATTAACACAATCAGGTAGATAACCTGAAAGTTATCGGATAAGTGGGTATTTAAATGCACCTATTATTTCTTCCCACCTTTTTCCTTCAAAATAACGCGTCAGATGTTTTAAACCAAGACCTTCAAGCCACATTGGAAAATCTAAATCATCATACATTAGGAGAATAGTAAACTTTTAGATACTAAATATATTAATTATAAATAATACCTTCTAATAATTCGTAATTTATAATTTTATCATAATTATTTTCATAAAATTCTTTTCTATTTAATAGCATCTCCAACTGTTTAGATGGTAGTAATTTGATCTCTTTTTGGGAAGCCTAAAAATGATCGGTCATGAAAAAAATAAATTTATCGGAAACAAAGAGTAATTTTAAAAACAAAGTGATCTTAATCTAAATAACTTACAATATAATTCCTAACATACCAGAAATTTATCAACAAAAAATTTTGAATTTTTTGTGTCCGAATACCCAAATTATTTAAATCCTCAGAATTCCTAAAATATATAATTTATAGTTATAAAAAAAATTTTTTTTTTAAACAAATGACCTCCAAATGAAACTCAGAATTTTAAATATTGATTATTATAAATTATTTAGAATTCTGGTTTTCATTTGGCGACACTCAAGTATAATGCATACATTTCGATAATATCTTGCCATTTTTTATCCTTAAAACATGGAGCAAAAAATTTTAGCCCCAAATTATCAAGCCATGCAGGAAAATCTAAAATAATTAAAAACTTTAAAAAATGTCATAATACAAAATTTAATAATAATTTATTATAGATACACATTAGATGAACACCTTCTAACAATTCCAAAGAAACGTGATCTTTATTTAAATGCTCATCACAAAATTTTTGTTGTTTTCTTCGAAGTTCTTTAATCTCAGATGTAACTCTAGACTGACGTGTCATTTTACTAATAATTTGTTCATTATTATTATGTTCAAGAGTAGTTTCATTAAAAAGGCTACGATGTTGAGAACTAATGATCCCATGCTTCATAAAATTGATTTTAATTCTTGAGATATCAGCTTTTACATGTAACATGGAGGCAGTAGTGAAATTAGAAGGTCGAGAACTAAATGATGAAAAAGGTAATGTTTTCCAAATTGAAATGGTATCATGATAAACGATCCATGTTATTGAGTTTATGTTTGAAATTATGCTAGTCTTTGCTTTTAATTGGAAAGCTTTTCTCTTGAGAATTGAACGACTTAACATTATTTTTTAAAAAATTTGTTGATAAGATTATCTAAATTTTATACATAAAACTTAATTTGGGAATGCATCTATTAAATCAGTTAGAAATATGTTACACAGAGTCTAAAAATTATGAAAGCATATCGATCGATATACCGATGCCGTAAAATTAAATTTAAGGCTGCATTCTTCTTTTTATTTACACATTAACTTTAAATTTTTGCAACTAAATAGATCAATAGCAATAGATTAATTAAGGTTTCTTAACATGATATTTAAATTCTGTAAATATCGTATATTCGGTTTATAGAATTTATAAAATTTATAAAAATAATCTTTTTTGTTTAAAATTAGTAGGCAGTATTATGCCATGCAAAGTTAATTTTTTGGTTACCTGCACTAGTAAAAATTAAAAAATACGAAATGTCGAATGGCAATATTTGACTGCCATTCAAACTGACATTCGACTGTCGAATAATTTCATTCGACATTCGAATGGCAGATCGATGGCAGTCGAGAATAGCAGTCGAATATGCCATTGAATTTGTTAATTTTTCGAGTGTTGGTTAGATTAAATATTACTGATTTAAGAAAAAAATATCCATATACAGTATTTACTATTCTAGTAGTTTAATACCAAAGAAAACTATCTAAAATTTTTTTAAAATCCGGATATCGACCCACTTGGATCGACCCACCTAGTATCGCCACTAAAATCAGTTACGTTAAATTTATCGCCGATATTAAAATTAATGATTAATACAATAATGACAACATTTGATCAATAACATATTTAAGAATAATAACAACAATTTACGATGAAGGTTTTTATTTCTTAGTACAAAATATTTTCTAAAATATAACACAACTTTATTCATCTTGAAACCAAAAAATTGCATTTCAAAATAATAATAAGTCATGTTTTTAAAGTGCAAACCCGTGTAAATGGAAGCATAAAGCAGAAACGTGAGGATCAAATTTAAATGATATTCGCAAGCAAAAAGAAAATGTTATAAAATCCGAAGATCTTTAAATATATAGTTTATGAAAAACTTATGGATGTTGAGAGAAAGCAATATGTATATGAATCTTGAAATAGTTATAGATATTTCCCAAACAGTTAACGAATAGAAGTAAATAACATGAATGAAGCTTTTGCAAGTTCATTGTCATTATATCATGGTTTATAATTTCTAAATCTAATAGTACGGTATATTAATTTAGATACAATGCAATTCCCAATATCCTCTCACATCACGGAAGCTAAAAAAACTTTATGGGAAAATATTCGAATATCAACCTTGATTAATTACACACAAGTCAATTTAATGATCGATCTGGTAAATTTAGAACCAAAATATAGATAATGAAAAATTGAGTACTGAAAATAGTGAATCTGAATCTGAAATTTACTCTTCATGAGGTATAAAAATTTTTTCATGTTTAAATAGATTTATTTATTAATTTTATGTTTTAGCCTTGAAAAGTCAAATAATTTTCCCAAACAAAAAAAATAGCTTTGAAAGTATTGAATTGAACCTTAAACCTATTCAAAAAAATAGTAGATGACATTAAAAATTTTGAATGAGCAAAAAAGCTTGTAGTGAACATAACAAAGTACCTTTTATTAATAGTATAAAAAAATTCAAATTTGAAGCTTTATATATATATTAAATAAAATTTGAATTTTGATAAAAATGCATTCTATATATTTGAATTGAGAGTAATTTGACTTATAGCTTGTAGTAGCGAGAATTACAAGAGTATCATGGAACTGAACTAAACTGAAAACCAACAAACTAGTAGAACTGAATGTCAAGATCCTATAATAGAGGATTCACCAACCTGGTCACTGGAGTCGCACCAGAGGAAAAGAACATGTGCTCTAAAAGTATGTATCAAGGGAAGAGAGTTTGTGAGACACTTAAAGCCTGGGCAGGCCAACTCCACCAAACCAACTAGTTTGGTAGTTTGAAGATATTAAGGAATTAGTTCAAGGAAAGTGAATATGAAGTAGATACTTGGGTCTGTATAATTTCAAACCAATAAGAGTAGGAGTATGTAATGAGCATCTAATTAGGAAGGTTGGTGCTTGAAAAATGTTTATAGAATATCAACATCCCAAAAGGTGGCATAAGATATACTAGTCGAAATCAAAAATATCATCCCTATATCATTTGTATATTTTCAAATAATCAGCCTAGGTGATATGAGAGTAATAGGCTATTGGCTACAACCTGATTATATAGAGATAAAAAAATCTGATATATTGATTATTTAAGAAACTATGTTACATATTGGCTTAGTTGATATATAATATCTTTAAATAATCAGCTTAGATGATATTGAAGAATAAAAGGTTAATATATAATATCTTCTAATAATCAGCCTAGATGATATGAAGGAGATAGGCTATTGAATATAAAAAGCTAATAGATAGATGTTTTAAAAAAATATATTATATATCAATTTAATAAAAAAGGTTGATATATAATATCTTAAATAATCACTTAGGTGATATAAGGGTGATAGGCTGTTGAATATAAATCAATTAAATAAAAATAAAAAAGCTAATAAGCAGATATTTCAAAAAAATATGTTACATATCAGTTTAATAAAAAAGGTTGATATATAATATCTTCAAATAATCATCTAGATAATATGAGGCCGATAGGCTATTGAATATAAATTGATTAAATAGAGATAAAAAAGCTAATAGGTGAATGTTTTAAGAAAATATATTATATATCAGTTTAATAAAAAAGGTTAATATATAATATCTTTAAATAATCGTCTAGGTAATATGAGAGTAATAGACTATTAAATATAAATTGATTAAATAGAAATAAAAAAGCCAATAGATAGATATTTTAATAATTAGTCTAAATAATATTTGGAAATATAAAACTGATATATAATATTTTCAAATAATTATCTAGATAATATAAGGGTGATAGGCTAAAGATTTAAAAAAATTTATCTATTATTTTAATATCAGTAAAAAACATTCATATATTAGTAAGAAAATTAGTTAAAGATATTAAAATAATATACTAACCAGTAGCCTATTACTATATATTACTCTAAATTGTATTTTTTTACTTTTCTTTATTATTTTCTTTTTTTTTTTTTTATAGATTTACTTTTGCTTGTAACTTTATTTTTTTATTTTTATTTTTATCTTTACTTTATTTTTATCTTCTTTATTTTTACTTTTATTTTTATCTTTTTTTATAAATCTTCTTTTTCTAATATTGATATTTTATATTTAGTACAAATATTTTATTTAAAAACATTTTTAATTAGAATTAAACTCTGTACCTTATCTATAATTATTTAAATAATAATAACTTTACTACTATACTATATTACTATACTTCTTAATTATTTATTTTTGTAAACATATTATATAGCAAATAATTTTTTTTTTTTTTTTTTTCCTTTGATAACTGCGTACTAAAATTTTATTAAATGTATACTGCTTAATACAAGACCAAGCTACTTTAATAGGGAATTAGACTAAAAGCCGGCTGTCTTTTAAAGATACCCAACCTTGGTTATCGCACTGATATTGGCCACTATACGGTGTGCCGTATTTAAAGATATAATATAGCCGAGGCTCAGCTCCCACCTCAGGACCTCTTTTCCCTTCTAATTCTTCCTTCTTCTTAAAGGGCATGAGACAAAAAGGGAAAAAGTTTAAATCAAAAAACAAATAAGAAAACGACCAAAAAGAAAAACAAACAAACAAAAAGAAAAAATAAACACAGATTTCGAAAAAGAAAAAACATGAAAAGAAAACTAAGACCCTAAAGGCACTATTATAACCCATGCAAGGTTGGTAAAAATTATATAACAAATACAATATTTGTATATCTATTTTGTAAAGGTAAAGCTCCATCTTGGTATTAAAATTTTCTTACCGACCTTTTTACCGAGTTCGGATGGCTCTGTTGTCTGAGGACCTATATCAAGGCTCCCTTCCGCTATAATTAAAGTTCCTAGGCCAAGTCCCATGCAGTAGTGCTATATCTGTCCGTAAACAAACACATAGTTGCAATCTACTAGTCCGTTCAAATTTGGGAAGTAAACAATGTATATAGCAAATAATTATATATATAATTTTATAATATTTGTTTATATATTGTTAATTTAAATTTTTAGATTTTATATATTTTCAAAATATCTTCTTAAAAATATAAAGCAAATATTATCAGATATAATTATTATTCTAAAGTTATAAGGCAGATATTATAATGATTATTTTATTCAGAATTATATTTTCTTGTTTTGACAAAATTTTAAAATATTATCTTTATCGGCCTACAGATATTAGATGGATATAACTATCATTCTGAAGATATAAGGCAGATATTATATTATTCATAATTATTTATTTTTTTTTAGAAAAAATTTTAAAATATTACTTTATTAGTCTACAAATATTAGACAAATATAACTATCATTTAAAGATATAAGTAAGATATAGTAGTGATTATATTATTTATAATTATGCTATATTGTTTTGACAAAATTTTAAAATATTATCTTTATTGGTCTACAGATATTAGACAGATATAACTATCGTTCTGAAGATATAAAGCAGATATTGTGATAATTATATTATTCATAATTATATTTTCTTTTTTTAATAAAATTTAAAGATATTATTTTTATCTGTCTACAAATATTAAACAGATATAACAATCATTCTAAAATTATTAAGCAAATATAACTATCATTCTGAAGATATAAGGCAGATATCATAATGATTATATTATTCATAATTATTTATTTTTTTTTTAGAAAAAATATTAAAATATCACTTTATTGGTCTACAGATGTTAGACAAATATAACTATTGTTTAAAAATATAAAGCAGATATAGTAATGATTATATTATTTATAATTATATTTTCTTGTTTTGACAAAATTTTAAAATATTATTTTTATCAGTCTACAGATATTAGACAGATATAACAATCATTCTGAAGATATAAGGCAAATATCGCAATAATTATATTATTCACAATTATATTTTCTTATTTTAACAAAGTTTTAAGATATTATTTCTATCAATCTATAGATATTAGACAGATATAACAATCATTTTGAAAATATAAGACAAATATTGTAATGATTATATTATTCACAATTATATTTTCTCATTTTGACAAAATTTTAAAATATTATCTCTATCAGTCTACAGATATTTGACAGATATTAGACAGGTATTAGTAATCATTTATTTATCTTGTACCTGATTTTATAATGTATATTTTTATACATATTACCCTTATATCATCTTACAATATTAAAAAATTTTGACCAGTAATATAAATATGAAATAGCAGATCAATATGTACTAATTAGAAAGAAGTTATAGAAACATGTAGTTAAATACATATATAGAACATGTATTGCTCTATTAGGTTTACCTTAAGGATAGTAAAATATTCTAAGATAGAGTGCGAAAACTAATGCAGGATAATACTAAAATCTATTTAGTTTAGTGAAAAAGTCCTTCGGATTAGAGGGTTGATGATGATAGTTAGAACCAGATAGTTTAAATGGGCAATCTATATAGTTGGAGTTAGGGTTTCTACAAACCCAGATCAAACCAAACTTTAAGCCAAGTTTGGGTTTGATTTGATTTTCAAATCAAACCCAATTTCAAACTATTGTTAAAAAAATATTTGAGTTTGATTTGAAAACAAACTTTTTAGTAAAGTTTAATTTGATTTGAAGTTTGTCAAACAGTTTGAGTTTGAAGGGTTCTACAAAAAAATTTAGCAAAATCTTACATATATAATAACTAAGATAAATTACTATAGTTGTACCTTCTTAAGTACGTGTTCTATAAAAACATTTATTGCATATAGTTTAATTTAAATTTAAATTTGAGAAATTGCTTAAAATTTCTACAGAACTCATTGGTTTACTAATATGTTCAGAAATTTTTTTCGTATCATATAATTTGCTGGTATACATATCTTGTGAATGTATTTGTTCAATCAGTTCTGGTTTAATCTTATTAGCTTCCAAAATTTGGTTTTTAATTTCATTATCATCATCTTGATCTATTTCATCCAACCAATGAGTGATTATTTTAACAATTTCAGTTATAGTAGATCGTTTATCAAAATCTTTATCTATATATTTCATAGCTAATTTAATATAAAAATCTGGTCCTAAACATTTGGGTCTTAATCCATCAATAATATTTGGTACAAAATAATCGTTAAATAGAATTCCATCAAAAGCTCTTTGTCTGGTCGAAATCTCAGTTGCGATAACTCCAAGACTGTAAATATCTGATGCTTTAGTATATGGCTGACCCATCAAAATCTTTGGTGCTATATACGGCAAAACTTTTCCTTCTTTTACTTTTTTACAAAGTCAATCAGTAATATATGCGTTTTGCAACTCAGGTTGCAAAATATTTCTGCTATGTAAATCTCTGTGAATAAGTTTCTGAGAATAAATCGACTCGAGGTTAAAAGCTATACCATACAAAATATTTAATTTATCTTTCCATTCTAATTGTGATACTTGTACAAGATTTTGTTGTAAAGAATCTTTTTATGCAATTTGTAAAACAATAATATAATCACTATAATTATTTCTTGACACTCCCAAACAATTCAAGAATGAAGAATTTTCGTAACCAATTTTACAGTAATTTTTCAATTCTTGAATAAATTTTGCAAATTTTGGTTAGAATCATAAATTACTTTAAGTGCAACATCTTCCCATATACCATCAATTCTATCAAACCGATTTGCCCAATATACAGTTGCGAATCCTCCTTTTCCCAATTCCCATTTAATTGTGAACTCATCGTCTAGTATTCTCTTAAGTTCAGAATTGATATGATTTGGTGATTTATTTGTTTTCAAATTACTTCTATATTTTCTGAACTAATAATTTGCCTTCTAAATATCTCTCTTTGTACCAGTACCATTTCGATAACAAATAGCAACATTAACCATTGCTATGTTAGCACTCATATTAGCAGCTTTTTCATAATATTCAAATGTTTTATTATAATTTTGATTAATCCCGTCTCCATATTCATAACAAGTACCAACATTACCTATTGCTATAGCATTACCCAAATCAGCAGACTTCTTTCAATATTCAAATGTTTTCTGGTTATTTATTTCTATTCCGATTCCATAATGATAACAATTACCAACATTATTCATCACATACAAATTTCCTAACTCAGCTGCTTTCATATAATATTCAAAAGCTTTCTTTTCATCTTTCTTAACATCAATACCGAATTCATGATTGTAACCAAGTTTACGAAGTTTTTGGAGTTCATTTATTTTTAAGGAGGAAAAAAAAAAATCATACACTAAATAAGATATAAACTTTAATTGCCTAAAGCGTAGTGGCGTACATTTAATGTTAGTCAAAGTGATACAAAACTTACTTCAATAGTTACATTTTTGAATAGCATATTAGTTAACTAATATTGTCTATCAAAAACGTAATTTGAAAAATTTTTATATCTAGCTACATATGTATTTGTATTTTAGTGTAGCAACCCTGTTAAGTAAATGTCTAGAGGTTAATTTTCCTATAAATTTGGTTGCTTAATGCCGGCCCAGCTTGATGAATTTGCCCAGAATTTTGGAAATTGCCCTGTAAAAAAAATCAATATCATAAAATAATAATTATATTAAAATTTGGAAGTCGAGAAAAGTTTCATCACAGTTCTGCAATTAATAGTAGATAGTAATTGCGGAGGTCAATACAAATAATTTACAATTTATTTTCAGAAGATTAATAAATGTCCTAAATTCTAGAACTTTATTAAATAATATGGTTAACATTCACATTCCTACATATAACTAGAGAATTCATTATATTAAATATATTTTTTTTTTTTATAATCCTTGGTAATTTCATTAAGACGATGAAGAAATATCTAATAAATAAATTTTGCTTGATATTTTGTTATAAATCCTTACATAAGTGATTCAGAAGTTTGATACTTACTAGCTAAAGATTTCATTAAAAGAGACAAATGAGTAAGTCTAATGTTAATTGATAGATGAATAAATTTCATAATTAATTATTAAAAAGTCGTAATCATAAAAAAGGTACTGTACTAAAAGTATTCGAATATTCAATGAATATTTGATGAATTTATCCGGATATTAATTCAAAAGTTCATATTTGAATTGAGCCCTATTCAAACCCAAACAAGTTTGCAAACTTCAAATCAAACTCAAATCAAACTTATTATAATATTTGAGTTTGGTTTGGATTTGATTATTTTTTATTTGAGTTTGGGTTTGAATTCAAACTTAATAAAATTTATTGTTTGAGTTTGGTTTGATTTGGGGTTTGATCAAACTCAAATCAAACCCAGATCAAACAACGGAACCCTAATGCAAATAGCATTAATCATATTGATACTCAGTTTCTTTATAAAAAAAATGTTGTACTTGATAATGGCGATTCTCAGGTTTTTTCTTTTCCTAGGAATACTATTCATTCTAAACTTATGGCTACTCACCAGAATGTTTCTGAAAATTCGAAGAAAAGGTCTGAACATGAAACTGGAATTTCTAGTGATCATACTGAGAAATCCATTTTATTAAATTCTTTAAATGATATTCGTTCATCGAAATGTGCGCATGTTGAAGATTGTTATAATTCTGCTGAAGAATTTTCTGGAAGTGGGTTTGATAATGAGATGTCTTTTAGTATTTGGTGATAATGTTTGTGGAAATGAATCGAGTTTATTGGGTAGTTCTTCATTAAAACGTACTTGGACTAAAGATTTTGAAGAGTCTATACGTGGATCTTGTTCTAAGAAAAGTGATGATTTAGTTGTTAGTGGTCAGGATGAAGAATATTTGAATTCTATCGTGAATAGCAAGCGTAAAAAAGAGAGTAATGGAAAGGGTAAAGAGCCTGTAAATTGTTCTTTATATTATAATCTGAGATCGTACATTTCTGGTAAAGATAATGATAAGAAGTAGTAATATATATATATATATTTATATATTTTTGGTGTGTTGATTTTAGCTGTATTGTTTTATTCTTATGATATTTCATATGAATATGTATATATATTTTTTTTACTTATGTTTATTTTGTTTTTTATGTTGAATATTCTTAAGAATATATGTTGTCTTATTATTCGAAGAATAATAAATTATTGAGTAATTTGCTGTATTTAATAAAATTGAAACAATAAATAAATAAATAAATAAATAATAAGTAGTAAATGTGAGAATTTAACATAAGATTAATAGTTTTTTTTTTTTTTATATGTTTGCTAATCACGAATTCCGAATACCAATACCAATTAACTTTACTGTGAAAGTAATATTATGTTGGTTTTTTTTTATTTTACAATAAATAATAAGAAAATTGTAATTAAATATATGAGTAAAAAAGAATTTAAATTAATTTTAGTAATTTTTGGTCCCTTTTACGATCGAAGTTTTATTTCATGTGATAGTTATGATCATCGATCAATTTGAATAGTATATAATGATGCGATCATTGTGATGAAAAATGTAGTAATAAGAATCAATGAATTGCGAAATTTGTATAAGTTACTGATGTAATTAATTTGTGAATAATAATGAAGTTGTTATTATGCTTTGTTAATTTGTACTGCGTATTGCTTTTGATTCTAGTTATATGTGGTTAAGTGTCAGTTTTAATTCATATTAGGTTATGTTATTTATCATTAAATATATTTATATATATATATATTTATTTTTGTAAAGTTTTTAATATAATTTTTATTTTTTAAGTTTTTTTTTTTCCTTCTATTAGAATTCATTTATATTTAATAAGAAATTTTATTGTTTTTTAATTTTCTATTGTTATTTTTATTTTTTTTTATTTTTTTCTTAGTTAAAATTCGTCTTTAAAGAATTTCTCTGTAGACTACGTTACGTGTAAAGACTTCTTGCATTCCAGGAATTTGGCCATTTTTTACTAATATTTTAATGTCTTGTGGTGATTGAGCTCATGAAAATGCAATGTAAAGTTGACCGTGTGTAAATACGTGATTGGGAAGGTAAATACCTACATGAGGTATAGTTTGACCCTGGGATTTGTTGATAGTAAGTGTGAATGCAAGTCTGATCAGAAATTGTCTTCTTTTCAAGACAAAGAAAAGCCGTATGTTATTAGATGGGAATAACGGTATTCGAGGGAGGAATACTTTGTTTCCTTTGTGACTACCGGTAGTTATCATTGCTTCTATTATATTTGGTTGAAATATTTGACAGATCAGTCTTTTGCCATTGCATAGGCCATTTGTTGGGTCTAAGTTCCTTAAACACATGATCGGTGTGCCTGCTTTTAAGTGCAGTTTATGTGGAGAGAGGCCGTTAGGTATTATTGAGTTAAGAAATTCTTGTTGATAAAGTCCATGTGTGTCATCAGGAACAGAATCATAGCTTCGGTATGTAACAGTATTACCAGGGATCTGATTTAGGATTATATTATTAATGTTTTTAGCATATTCATTTTTAGTTGTGAGGATTGCTCTTTCTGTAAAGTAGGAAGGGTTCGAATAATTATTAGTTCATTCTTAATAGATGTATTCAATTAATGTTTGTAAAGATTCTTCATCTTTCCAAAGAAGAACTATTTGTTCGGGTATATGAATCATATCATTTTTGATAGTTGGTTCAGTTCCATTTCCTATATTTAGTAAGTAATCCTTGAAATTGTTATAGTTTTGGTTGTTTTGTACTCTCATATTAGTACGAAGATAAAAAATTTCCATTTTAGACCAAATCGAAGAACGTTTTAGGGAGGCATTTACTATTTGTTTGCGACTACCTCTTGGTACGACAGGCAATATCTGGCAAAAGTCACTGCCAAAAACGATCAGTTTTCCATCGAATGGAAGATTATTCTCCATTAAGTCTTTAAGGGTTTTATCCAAGGCTTCTACGGCATAACGGTTTATCATAGAAATTTTGTCCCATATTATTAATTTTGATAGACATATTAATGTAGCTAACTGACTTTGTTTGCTAATCGTGCATGTTGAACTAGAATCAAGTGTTAGGGGTATATTGAATCTGGAATGGGCAGTTCGGCCCCCAGGCATGATGAGTACTGCGATTCTGGATGAAGCTGTAGCAAGTGCAATATATGATAGTAATCTAATTTTATAAAGAAGACAAAGGCATAGAAAGGTTTTACCGGTGCCTGCAGGACCATCTACGAAAAAAACGCCGGGTTGTTTTTTTTCAATGCGTTCTATGATTTTATAATATATTAACTTTTGTTCACTATTTAATAACTTTATCTTTTCCAAATCTTCATTTTTTACTAAAATGTTTAGTTCCTTTTGTATTAGTTTTAGCATTTTTTCTTGTTTTTGTTCAGTTAAATTGAGCTGTGGGAGGTCATATTCATTCAAACTTTTATTATGTTGTTTCAAAATACTTTTGATATGAAGTAAAATCGCATTAACTTGAGGCTGGCCCTCTGGAATGTCTTTGTTTGAAAAGTCTTCAGCCATGGGAATAAGATTTTCATTCCACAATTCTCGAACATTTCTGGGTTCACAAAATATTAGTATTGTTGTGAATAGGCATCTTAGAGCATATGGCATTTGAAATAACGAAGCTTTTCACATCATGTTACAGTATGGGTTTTCATTTTCTATGACCCCGTGTCTTAGTGCACTTTCTTGAAAAGTTGCACATCTATAGCCTTCAACATTCTTTAGGTCAGAAAACGAAGTGGCTCCTTTTACATAGTTGAGGAGGAAGCTTAAGTAATACCTCTCCCCTTCGTTTGGGTTTACCATGTACATCCTTCCAATTATATTTTTTTGATTTCATTCCCACTCCTGATTAGTATATTCTAAGGTAGCGGCTAACTCTTGTTTTTTAGTAGTTTTATTCCAAATATAGTACTGTGGAAATTTGCGATATAAATAGTTTTTAGCTTCAGGATCGTTGTTATTCATTTTAAAATATTCTGTCAACAAAGATTTTTCATTTTGTTCATCATTTATTAGGTTGTGAAGATTGGTATTTTGCTGAAATATTATGGTGTTTTGGTAAGGAAGGTGAACTTGTAGTCGATATACTGATGGATTAGTTTGTGACATATAGGGTTCCTAGGTTCAGTTCAGTTCAAATTCAGGTTCAATGAACCTGAACTGAACCTGAACCTGAACCACAAATTTTGCAGATC